CAAGATGAGGCAGGAGACGGACAGAACCGTGGAGTGCAAGCTGAAGGAGCAGGAGAAGAAGCTGCAGCAGGAATTCAGAGAGAAAGCCAGGCTGATGAAAGAGGAGATGGACAGGCTGCAGAACCAGGGAAAGGTGAGAGAGGAGAAGCTGCATAAGGAATTGGTGAGATTCAGTGGGGTTGGAGGGGCAGTTGGGGGGTAATTTTCAGTGTGTTTTCCACCATGGAGCAGCAGTGACACCTGCTGCCTAGTCTGGGTAAAGCACAGAGTAAAAGAAGGCTAGCGGCATTTTGGACTCTATAAGTAGGGGCATTGCCAGCAGATCAAGGGACGTGATCATTCCCCTCTATTCGACATTGGTGAGGCCTCATCTGGAGTACTGTGTCCAGTTTTGGGTCCCACACTACAAGAAGGATGTGGAAAAATTGGAAAGAGTCCAGTGGAGGGCAACAAAAATGATCAGGGGCTGGAGCACATGATTTATGAGGAGAGGCTGAGGGAACTGGGATTGTTTAGTCTGCAGAAGAGAAGAATGAGGGGGGATTTGATAGCTGCTTTCAACTATCTGAAAAGGGGTTCCAAAGAGGATGGATCTAGACTGTTCTCAGTGATACCTGATGACACAACAAGGAGTAATGGTCTCAAGTTGCAGTGGGGGAGGTCTAGGTTGGATATTAGGAAACACTATTTCACTAGGAGGGTGATGAAGCACTGGAAGGGGTTCCCTAGGGAGGTTGGGGAATCTCCTTCCTTAGAGTTTTTTAAGGTCAGGCTTGACAAAGCCCTGGCTGGAATGATTTGGTTTGGATTTGGTCCTGCTTTGAGCAGGGGGTTGGACTAGATGACCTCCTGAGGTCCCTTCCAACCCTGATATTCTATGATTCTATGATACATTGCATTACCCTAACTGGCTATGGGATATTTTCTTTCTCAGGGCAGATCTACACTTAAAATGCTAGGTTTCAGAGTAGCAGCCGTGTTAGTCTGTATCCGCAAAAAGAACAGGAGTACTTGTGGTGCCACAAGTACTCCTGTTCTTTTTACTTAAAATGCTGCAGCTGCACATTTAAAGCTGCCCTGTAGACTGCTTCAGTGAAGACACTACCTTCTTCTCCTCCTGTCAACTTAGCACTGTCTATACCAGGGACTAGTTCGATATAACTATGTCGCTCAGGGGTGTGAATGTAAGTTTCTAGTGTAGTCCTGGCCTCAGTTTTACATTTTGTTTGTCAATTGGAGTTGGGCAGGTCAGATTATCCCCTGTCCCAAATGCACTGGAAGGTAGATTTTGGAGGGATGGGGGAATTCTGTTTTTATCCATCTCTGTGTCCATGCTGGCCTCCTGAAGTCTTTAGGGAGAAGCCTTTAGGAGATGAGAAGGGAACAGGGAGGAGAGCATTTTCCCTTCCTTCCCATCTATCTAACTGGTATCATACTGCCGCCCATCACTGTAGTATCTGAGCACCTTCCATGTAAAATCAATAGAGTGAAAAACAATTGATACATGCCGTCTGTCACATAACGGATATGAACTGGCTACAGCGCTCCCTCCCCAGGGAGATACAAAAGCTGCATTGTTTTTAAGACACTCTAATGCACTGCCAGGTGTGTCTGTTACACATGGCGCCATGCAGTGGCTGACCTGTGTAATACAGTTCAGCATTGAGGTGTAAAGTATGCATCAATCACAGTCAGAACTCTGGCATAGTCATCTTTGTGACTGTCTTCAGTAAAGGTAAAAGATTTAAAGATCTGCTCTGTCTGCTTCCCCATAGCACAAATTAAAGAGCATATCTCAATGTGTGCAGTTTCCTTGTGGAGTTTGGTTGCAAAGCAAAATCTTGCAAAATGCTGCTTCAAACCTGTTGTTGGGATTCCCTCTGTAAACGTCCGGTGCGGGGGTCGGGCCCTCTCAGGGGCCGTCGGGGGCCAGGCCGCCTCACTACACGG